AAAGACACTCCATATCATTACAAAAATCTTACAGATGCTGTAAGAACGATTTACAGAAATGAAGGTCCTGCTGCGTTTTACAGGGGCCTGGTACCCTCGTTGTTTGGCGTTACTCATGCAGCAATACAGTTTCCGATTTATGAGTATTTAAAGCAAGTAGCCAGCGGTATTATCTCGGCCTATCTTACCATCGTCTATTTAGTGTACATATGTGCAGAAACAAAGGAAGTATCCAACCATGTTCAGACGGTCCTTATAGCTTCGGTTGTGAGCAAAACCATAGCTACGATATTGATATTTCCACACGAGGTATTTGTCAATCACCAACTAAACTAAACTAAACCAAGGTTATTCGGACACGATTGCAAAACATATCAAGCAGGAGTGAGCGAAAAAGCGTCCTCGATGTGATCAAAGATGTATACACACACGAGTCATACAGCGGCTTTTACAGAGGCTTGTTCCCCAACCTTGTCAAGGTATTGCCAGCAAGCGCCATCACGCTCTTAACTTATGAAATCCTTATCTTATTGTATGAAAAAAGTAATAAATTTCCAAAAGGTTATGTCCGACAGCACTTTGGCAATAATTGAAAAAGAATCGTCAAAAAGCACCGGTGCTACCCATGTCAATCTCGGCTTCAGTGGCACTTGAAAAGGTAGAGTGCTTTTCAAGCAATCGAACACGGGAGGAAGCCTTTCACCAAACGCTGCCAAAATTTTCGCTGGTTAAAATGAACATTGAGAAATTTAAACTTGTGGGATTGGGAATTTAAAAGTTCCATTAAAAGCTTTTTTTGTCAATGTTCCTTTTCAGGTCCCGACGGCTTTTCTCTTCAGCTGCCTTCAACACAATTTATGGCAGTGAGCCCGCTTCAAAGTCGCCCATAAAAAGGCTCTTTTGGTGGGGAGCATTTTCCGGCGCGACATTATCGTTTATCTACATATATGGCTCGCCTCGAGATACCGACTCCAGAGAAAGCATTTCCGAAGGAAATGGGCTCTTGCCCAACATAAAAAGAATTTGGAGACGAATGGATTCTGGATTGCAAGTATGAACGGTTCATTTATGTTTAGAAATATTTTGAGCCCTCCTTTGACGTGCTTCTTCCTCCGGCTGCACAAACCGGCCCGGAGGCAAAGCCATTTACCATTGTGCTTGATTTGGACCGATTTCTTGTTTCTCATTCTTGGGACCCCATTTTGGGAAAGTGGCGCATTGCTAAAAGACCGGGCGTAGATATGTTTCTCTTCTATCTGGCCCACATGTATGAGGTTGTCGTGTTTTCCTCGATGTCGCAAATGGAGGCAGAGCCATTGATGGAGAAGCTAGACCCCTATCAAATGATATCATATCGTCTTTACAGGTTCGCAACAAAATATGAGGATGGCACTTATAAAAAGGATCTTTCTCGTTTAAATCGAGACATGTCTAAAGTCATCGTTCTTGGGCACGATCCCTCGTTTTCAACATATCCCGACAACTGGATCAAGGCCGAGCCGTGGAACAATGATCCAAACGATACCTTCTTAAGTGATGCCTTACCGTATTTGGAGAGTAAGTTTGGCTTTCCCATTTTGTAGCTCTCGCTTTTTCAAATGTTCCCGATGTTCAAACAATCATCCGCTCATATGAGGGCCGCCCAATAATCGAATCGTTCGAAGAGAAGCAGAAAAGCGTGTACGAATCTCTACGCCAGCAGAGACTTGCCGCAAATAATTCGACCATCCACAGAGTCCTTGCAAAGCTATTTATGCCCGATCTTGCGCGCGACGCCGATGGTGGAGAGGGACTAATGTCATATGAACAGAGAAAGGCGTTCATCTCCAACCAGCGTAAAGAAGAATACAAAAAAGAAATGGCCCGCATTAAAGTCGAGTATGAAAAGCATATCGAGGCAAGCAAATCGTACCTTGCATCGCAGAAAATGCCGCTCTATGACCTGGTAACGAAGGGTCCCCAGCCATTACCACTGCCACCACCGTCCCTTGAAGCGCCTGTTGAAGCTAATGATGTCTAAGATGTTAATTTATTACTATGTTTATCACAATTAAACAGTTAACCGCCGATAAGCATTTCCAATTCCTTTGCAGCCATCACAAAATCGGAAACACTAAAGGTCGGCTTGGTGAGGCAATTCTCCCCGGCAACCAAGCCATTGAGAATGATCGGCTCAAACTCCGGATTAATTTGCACCGTCTGTTCAAGCAGGCCATTACCCTTAATAAGGGTCTCTTTGGCGCAACAGATGCCTCTGTTAATGGCATTTAACAGAGCGGTGGAGCAGATGGCATACAATTCGGCACCAGTTCTTGGGAGAAAAACCTTGCACGCAAGCGAACACAAAATGTCGTCCGAATCGGGCCCCAATTCAAATCTATCGTCACATTCAGAGGTGTTTAAAGCAACATACTTTCTGGTGAGCGCCTTTAATACCGAAAAGATTCCCTCCTTCGTTCGAATAATTCCAAACTCAATACTGGTATCAAAACGACCGGGTCTCAAAAGAGCCGAGTCGATCAGATCAGGTCTATTGGTTGCAGCTAGCTTGTAATTCTATGCAACGATTACCCAATAAATAAACAGAGCCGGGGATGTTGTCGATCTCCGACAGGAGCTGCGATACCAGACGATGCATGACCCCAGACGAAGACCCTCCAGATGACAGCGAACGAGAGGGCGCAAGTGAATCTAGCTCGTCAAAAAAGATCAACGACGGCGCCATCTCTTTTGCCCTTTTAAATAATTCTCTGATATTCCTTTCCGATTCGCCAACATAGCTATCTAGCAATTCAGGCCCCTTTACAGAAAGAAATCGCAAGGAAAATTCGGTTGCCACAGCTTTTGCTAGCAAAGTTTTTCCTGTCCCCGGAGGTCCATGTAAAAGGACGCCCTTTCTGCTGTAAGAAGAATCTTTCGAAAGATCCTTGTTTGAAAATGCTTTGACAAGATGGTCCTTTGCTGATTCAAGCCCACCAATGTCGTCCCAATGTACTTTTGGTATCTAGAATTTAGGAAACAAAAGCCACCTCTGTAAGAGTGTATGGTAACGAATTTTTTGAAGAATCGAGCTCTATGGTTAAACAAATATCGCATACCTAATAGACTAATTGCTTCACATAAAGTCTCTTCTGTCGATTTGAAGGCATTTTGGAGCTTGGCCATGTGGGAGAGCTGTAGAATATTTGCAAGAGAATAGCTTTTCAGAAGAGAAAAAAAAAGTAACATTGATATCAGCACCAAGCTCGGTCTTGAGCTTTTGAACAAAATGTACAATTTGGTCGAATACCCCGATATGGGATGAAGACCTTCCCGCTTGGTGGGGTTCGCCATCACAAAGAAAAGATTCAAATAGTATGTTAAATCCATCAATAAAAATGAACAGAGCAGTTCCAAACAAAATGCGTTGGACCTTCTCAACGGTCTGGAGCAAGTCGTGATAAAGATCTTTCAGAATTTGGTGCATATCTCCAGAATATTTGCTGCAGCCAATGTTGATGATGTAAAACCCCAATGCATCCAACAKCAGATTTAAAAGCCTCGGGCCATACCCAAGATCGTCACTTGTATCTTCAAATTCAAGGAGAATCGATTGGTTAGCGCATTTCGCTTTCATTTGAGCAATCACAGCCATGAATGGCTCGTAATCTAGCCATCAATAAATAACAAAAAACTTGAAAACTTGAGCGTGTTTTCGTTGATTGAAAGAGGAAAGTTGGCCACATATTGCTTCAAATTTGATTGTTTCGTGACCAAGATATTGTTGGGACAACTCCCTAATAAGGGAGGTGTAAAGTTTCTTTCTGCATGGCTTGATAAAACTCGAAAAACTAGTTTTAAGCCTTGACAAGGAGAAATCAAGTCAAACGGAAATTGCTGGGCAATTAGTTTCAGTTTGAAATACAAATCGAATAAGCGCTCTCGCTCAAAATAGCGCAAAAGCTCCTCCTCTTGCTGATCCACTAAAAGCTACAAAATGCAAAGTGTACACGCAATTGGGAGACACAAAAGCTCATTCTCGATCAGAAAATTGCCACAAAATCTTTTCAACAGAAAAGTGGCAAAACTGTGCAGGACCGCATCTCCAAAACCTACGCGTCATTGTTGAAAAGCATATATTACTTTCAATAAGCATGGAAATCGTGTTTGGAATAATGACAAACATTGCAGACCGGCCAATGCAGAGGGAGTCAATTACACATGCGGTTACAAGTTGGCTTTTGGGTAAATAGTAAACGGGACACAAAAATGCGCTTAAATGGAAGGATTTCATTAACGTGTGGCCTTTAAACGACGATGCAGAGTTGGTCCAAAAAGAGGCAATCCTGCCGATCAAAAAAGAAGATGCAAAAAAGGGAAAGCCTATGGGATTAGAAATTGCACACAACTATCACCACCAGTCTCAGACATGTCGTCGTTGATAGCGGCTAATTCCTCGAGTTCTGGATTTTTCTCCGGTAAAGTTTTCAATTCAAAAATCMGTTTAAAAGGATAAGCATCTCGCAGCAGATGCACTTGCACCGGAAAGCCATTACACATGCACGATGAATCAAAATACAGATTGATCTAATTATCAATGTGGCAAGAACTACTATTTGGCCGTGTATAAAATCGTGTCTCTCAAGCGCCTCGTATGAAAGAAATACTCTGGCATCAAATAGCAGGTCCGCATGGCTGTATTCACAAGGCAGCGGATAAATCCTGACGGCAGTTGGATTCATAAAATTGAAAATTTATTCATCGAGTTTAATTTCTTCAACGAGCCTCGAGTAGTATTCGTGAAAGGTTTTAAAGTTGTACGTTACCACGGCTTTAAGTTGAGAAAAGCTAGCGACGATGATCGGTTCGAGACTTTGCGTTATTTGGCCATTCCTAGTACACGCAAGGTCATTGCCCCTTAAAAAAGAAATAAATATCGGCTTTAGTCTGAGCTTGCTAATTGCAAACAGCCTCGACTGGTGGATGGGACTAAAGTATGTGAGGGAAATGCAGATTGCAGCCTTTATATCCTGCTCTGTGAGCGAAAAGCTTCCGATCGGATATTCTTTCAAAACCCCAAGAACAGACAAATACAAGGCATCCTCGAACCTTTGCGAGGAAAAGCAGCGAGCTCGAAAGTTTCTTTTTTGCTCGCTCAGCGAGGACGTCAGTAGCTTTGTAAAGAAGCCATTGGGGGTCGTAACAAACTTGACGAATTCATCGTTCAAAACGGCGGTCCTTTCCTTCAGGCAATGAAGGAAAATGAAAATCCGTAAAATTAGATCTAGAGAGCGTTCGGCATTTTTGAACAGCAGCAAGTCTTCTTGGAATGTTTCTGGAATGTCCGCAAAAGAAATGTGAAAGATTGTGATTTTCCACACCATTTCGTAAAATATTTCGTCGACCCTTGCATTTCTTATTTCGCTCAGCGTGTTCTTGAGAATGGTAAATAGCTTGGGTGTGGCAGAGCCTGAGATGCACTCATACTCATACTTTGAGATGATGTCAATCAAAACGCTTCGATGTATTCGCAAATGGACGTTTACAGACTCTAACTTTAGTGTTTCGACGATCTCCATGAAGGCTCTTAAATAATAAACATACTCGTCAGAAGAATCCGGCATTTGGTATGCCATTTTGAGCATGTGATCGAGCAGCTCATAAACGGGAAGCCCAGCAACAATTGGAACATTCTTTTTACACAAAAGCCTGAAAGAAGAGTAGAAATTAGATATCAAAGCCGGCAGGAAGGAGTAAAACGGAATGGGAAGTCCGTATTCCAAAAGGCCGATGATCTTTTCCGACTCTATCAACTCGTATGCAGGGAATTTTTCTTGGTTCTGAAAAGAAATTCCAGACAAGATTTCCCGCATCTCGTTCAAAAACAACGGGATGTAAATGAGCGGAATGTTGTGATACTCTTCATATAGCTCCGGAGGTTTTACTCCATTTGCTTGCCAAATTAACAGCCATTCAATTTCGTTCCGGACCTTTTCCCAATAGAAGGATTCATCAGAACCGTCCTCTGAAGTGTCCAGTGGCTTAAAGACCAGATCCACGCTAAATAAGAACCGATGGCGAAGCATCGGGTTGTTAAGAAGAGATACAATGTTGACCGTTCGCAATGAAAAGCGATTGACCACGGGAAGCATTGAAGCTATCATGGAGCCCGGAAGTATTGCCATCAAGTTGACAAGCTTTTCGACGAGCGGAACATGCTTGGCCTCAACGCCACTCTCATTGTTTGGCTCGTCTTCCTCCGATAAAAAGGATGTGCAACTTGAAGATAGCGAAAGATTGGCCATGTTTGACATCATCGAATTGCTACACTCGCTGTTGTCTTTAGGTGGGGCTGAATTTGAAATATCAGCAGAAGATCTAGTTGAGCCGGCCTGGGGCCCTGTCGGTTTTGCTGTCATGAGCTCAGAGTGAGAGGATTGCCACAGGTGCGCCATAAATGTTAAGGTCGCCTAATTCAAGGCATGAGCTTACACGATTGGAACAATTTCCAGTATTAGTATCAACGGTGAAACATTCAGTGCAATTCAGGGTGGCCCTTGCCTTGACACTGCAAAAAAAATATTTAATCGTGCATTTAAAGGGCAAAATGGCGCCCCGTGTATTGGGACCGGCCAAATCAAACCAAAGCTGCGATTTTTTAATGGAAACAAAAGGTTCAAAAACTAAATTTATTAAAAGATTAATAAGATTAAATGGATTAGACTTCGTCGTGTCTTGCAGGCATGTTTTGAACCAACATGGTCAGCACTAGAGAGAGCATTTGGATCTTATCTGGAGTTAGATATTCAGAGACAAATTCTTCAAGAGCTCTCATGGCGTCAGTTTTAATATTTGCAACATGCTTAAAAGTGTCGACTGTCACACTGGCCATAGACCCAAACTGAATAAGCTTGGGCAAGTAAGTGACCAACATAACACCGGGAATTCCCATTCCAATGGCCTTGGTAATTTCAGAATATATCTGCAAAAGATTTTCAAACAAGTCTGGAATGGAGTTAGTAAGCTGCTCTTTGATTGGCTCGGGAAGCATTCTTGATTGCTTTAAAGACTTCATGATCCTATTCTCGTACATGGACAAAACCTTGCCAAATGCTTCGCTGGATACAAAAGAGCCCTTTTCCAATTGTGCCTTGTTGGATTCAACAGCATCTTGGAGTCCGGTGAACAGAGTACTGATCAACTCGTTGATAGAGTTGATTACCGTTTGATCTTGAAGAGCCTCAAGCACATCAACAGTCCTTTCGATGGCGCTAAAATGGCGACGAATCTCATCAATAACTTGCTCTGCTTGGGATCCGACCGAATTAACTAAAAGCTTCTGAACGGTTTCCCACAGAACATACAATGAATCGAGAGTGGCTGTTTTTTCTGTTTTTCTATGAACAGCAGACGATCCTTGGAAAGATTTTCCTGTTTTTTGATTCTCGTGTTTGCAGTCAATAAAGGCCGCTGAAATGAAGAAGATCGAGAAGAGCACAGCTAAAAGCTGGACACGAAATAGGGAGGTTTTCATTACAAGACATGCGATGTGCATTTCAGCTATTTAAACTCTATCTTTGGAACATTCTGGAACAAAATGATTCAAATTTTACAGTTGTAATGCGATAATTGGTATAATTTAAAAACAATACTAACCCTAATTTTGGGGAACTGTATTTACAGTTGTGTAGAGCGAAATATATTAAATCAACCCTAACCCTAACCCGGCCTGGTATTAAATTTTAAATGGGAGCCACAATTTATTTTGCCGAACCCTATTTTAAACTCGTCGATGGCGAGTAAAGGGCAACCAAGCCCAAAAGATCTTGCAAAGCTGCTGGAGCTCGAAAACAACAACCAGCACATTTTAACGATGGATCCTTTGAAAAAGCTTTTCAGCTTCTATCTTTCCATTGCCAACAGAGAAAAGGCTAAAGAAACCCTTTACAGGCTGGCAACTAATGCTAATATTGTGATCAAAAGCATGGTATTTCCACTTGTAAATAAAAAAATCCAAGCTTCTACTAGTGTGCTCTCAAGCTCAGACAATTTGTTTGCTAGCGATGTTTTTAATATTTCCGAATATCTGCAATATCTTTTTTCTCTTTCAGGGCCAGATGAGTGGGCTGCCTTTCACAATACCATTCCCTCTTGGAAGTCGGTGTTGAAATTTATTTTGATAGACTTTTCCTCCCTTATTGAGCATATGATCGACACTATGCTTGGTGAATTGTCCGCCTCGCTGAAAAACCGGATCCACGTGCAAAAAAGCAAAATCATGTCGATCATTTTGTCTTGTAAGCTGTTTCTTTACCAAGGTTTTGAATTAAAGGATGCATATAAATTTCTTGTTACGAAACTTGATTTGCATCTACACGGCAATGGAGAATATTCGTACTTTTTGGACAGGCTTTCGATCCTTGAATTGGAGTTTGATTTTTCAAGCTTTTCTGTGGTAGACATTTCAAAAAGTATGATTCAATATTGTTGGGCAATTGAAACGTCAAATGTCATTGATGTTCGTGTGGTGGCAGCCAAATTTCCGGATTTCTTCAATAGCCAAGCGAGATATTCGTATGGCTCCAGTGACCCGCTGGTACAGACAAATGCGAAGTATCCATATGCCAAAGCGCTCAGTGACATTTATGTGTTTTATTCAAAAATCTTTAAAGCAATTTATCACCTTGACGCAAATTCTAGCATTAACAACTCTACTGTTTCCGAGTTGGCAAAAAAATCTTATTTGCATGGCCTTTTAGGAAGGTCCAAAGCTCAGCAGCTTTTATTAAACGGCGACGGCTATTTTAGCCATCTAGTGGGGTTAATTTTGGTCGACTCTTTCACCATGCACACAAAGCACTTATTTCTCAAGATTTCAAATGATGGAGTACTCATTTTTAAGCATCTTGGTCTGACCCTTTCAGTGTCGTTATATTCTTTAAGCGCGGCAGTCGCATTGTCGTCAACCGTAAAGTCTCCTGAAAATATAGCAAAATGTGCGTCCTTGGCATCCGTTGTTGCTTTGCCCTCTGCGTTTAAACAGTGGAATGTGGATGAAACCAACAGCCACCTTGAACTAATGCTTTTGGCAGTCAATTATTTTTTTGACCTGTATCTTGCTGACGCTTCTTTTTTGCATCCATGCACCTCTATTAACTCATCTAAAGCTTTGGCTTTCGGAGACGACGTTAACCACTTGATTGGAGCTCTTTCTAAAGTGCCCAAAAACTCTGAATATACAAGTGCGCTGCTGTCAGTTTTAACATTAACTACGGCGACATCCACAAATTGGGCGTTGTATTTTGATTGTCTTGAAAATGAGGCACCCATATTGACGGCTTCCTTGTCCGAACACTTGGCTACTTGTATTTCTTTATTGGAACAGATAAAAACGCAGTTTGTGACTAGGCTACTTAACAAGTTTTTGCCGGTGCTCCATTTAGCTTTATTGAGAATAGCTATGATGCTATTGGGGGGACCCTTTCTCTCAAATACACAAACTTTAAGGCTTTCGCAGACTTTTTCTCTGTCCAAGAATTCCTTTACATTGCCTGATAACCCAATTTTCAAAGATCATAGCCGCCTACATCTTTCGTTAAGGGCTTTATCGATCATTATTGGTGAAAATACAGCTTCGCTGCCAAAAAATGGCATATGCAGATTTCATTTGCAATTTGAGAGCATTGTTTCGTGCGCCTACTCATTGTTTTCGCTGTATTACTTGTTTCTGGGAATTTATACGATGCCCCAAAATAAAAAGCCCCTTTTCATACAAAAGGCCGCCGACTGTGCAACTAGATCCCTATCTTTTCTCCCAGGCATGGAGAATGAACTTTCTACATATTGCTTGCTGCTGACACACTACTTTAATTGGCTAAATTCACAAGATAAAATCGTCGATTTGAGAAACTTGCTTGTCCAAATCAGACCTATTTCAATAGCATCCAATGTCAAGGCAATCAATACGCCCACCACGTCTTCATCCTTGCTATTGAGATGCAAAGCCCAAATCCTACTTTGCCATCCGCAAATCACAAGCGATTCCATTTCAGATGCAATCTGCTCCCTTCAATGCGCTTTACGATCGCAATATTTGCATGCACCAACATGGCTTTTACTGGCCGATGCATATGAGCTTAATTGCCAATACATAGCAGCATTCAAGGGCTACGCAAAAGTGATCACCCTTGAGCCTCAACACCCCAAACTTGCAAACTTGGTCGTAAAGATGGCAACATGCCTTTTCAAAAGCAAATCCTATGCGTTGTGCTTAAAATTCATTATCCCCCTCATAGAGGATCTTGAAAAAATTGATCTTTCTTTCATCGAAGAAGACAATCCACTTGAAATTCCAGCTCCCATTGTATTAAGTGAACCTGAACTTGCAGAATTAAAGCTAGTCTCATTTGAATCGCTATTGTTACTTTCCCGGGAGTTGTTTGACTTGGGTGAAGTTGGGCATTCGTTTGAGCTGGTTGGAATTTCCTACGACTTTGTCCCGTTTGCTCTTGAAAGATCTGAAATACGCCTATTGAACCAACTGTTTTCTTTTACGAGCGCCGTTTTTGACTCCAGGGCAATTGGTATCATCCAGAAAGACAAGCCCGCTCAATTTGAAGCCTTATGCCAAAAAATCTGTCAATCTTGCCTCTACATTCATTCGCACAAGCTGTTCAAGCATCTTCTTGATGTTGAGTGTGTATCTCCATCTGTTCCCAACTATGACCTACATGTGTCTATTAGGAAAGAAACCAAGAACTGCTATTTGCCTGTTTTAGCTTCCAAAAACTGCAAATCCCTTCTGTTGTTGACTAAGACATATTTCGACATCAGCCTTCTTGAAAAGGATCAGTTTGTGGCCAATTGGCTTCAACTTGCCAATTCCTTGATTTTGCTTGACATTTGCAATTTGATTGACTCCAATCGTATTTCACCTTGTATTTTTGCCATCCTTCGAGGCCTATGTGCAATATGTATTGAGCAAAAGGAGCCCGAACACTCGGCTGCTATTTGGTTGACCACCGGGAAATGGCTGATAACCAAAAACAGCTTGCTGCTAGCTCAGCATGCTTTGATGGTTGCTTTGGAACTTTGCATTTCCCTGGTATGTTTATTTGCATAATATTAGGAGCAATCGGCTCAAGTTTTTTCATCCCTAGCTTTGATTGCATTTTCCGCTCGAGACTTTGAAAAGTGTAAAGAATTTTCTTTGAAAGCTAAATTAGCTGACCCAAATCAGTCTGACGTAGACTTTTTCATCGGCCATTTTAAAAACACGGGCACCCTTTTTTAAATGTATTTTTATCCTCAAAATGGCATCCATTTATGTGCAATAGCTCTCCATATTGTTTATGCTGTTCCATAGCGATAAAATTCTTTGCTTTCATTGAGCGCTGTGACCACTTGCAATAAACCTTGCTTTTTAACCCGTGAAATTGGTCGCATAAACCTGCTTGGGGACGGCATTGTTGCTCGTGTATGTTGGTTGTGTAAATTTGAACCTTTTTATTTGGGGCAATTTAGTAATTCACTTGAAGAATTTAAAATTTTGGAATCAAATTTTTTATCCAAATGTCCATTGATTGTCGACTTACCGCAGGTGAGGCTACGGTGGCCCATGCTGCTGCTGCTACTAGGAACTTTGCGGTCCAGCCAAGAGTCGACTATCGAACAGTAACTGGTGTAAATGGACCGCTTGTCATCCTTGATAATGTCACGTTCCCGAAATATGCAGAAATTGTCAAGCTAACACTGCCAGACGGGTCCATTCGCAATGGGCAAGTCCTTGAGGTGGTTGGATCAAAAGCCATCGTGCAGGTTTTCGAGGGAACATCTGGTGTGGATGCGCACGCAACTCGAGTCGAATTTTCTGGAGACACCCTCAAAATGCCCGTATCAGAAGATATGTTGGGTCGCGTGTTCAACGGGTCGGGCCGCCCCATCGATAAGGGGCCAAAAATATTCGCTGAAGACTATCTAGACATTCAGGGTTTGGTTTGCACCAATTGATCCCTAGGCCAGCCTATTAATCCATCGTCAAGGATCTACCCAGAGGAGATGATTCAAACCGGAATTTCTGCGATCGATGTGATGAATTCCATTGCACGTGGCCAAAAAATCCCAATATTTTCTGCCGCTGGCCTTCCGCACAACGAGGTAACTTTTCGCGGCATTTGTCCGTAATTAGATTGCCGCGCAAATTTGCCGACAGGCTGGACTTGTGAGAAAGTCAAAGGACACTCTAGATGGACATGAAGATAATTTTGCAATTGTGTTTGCTGCAATGGGTGTAAATATGGAGACGGCCCGATTCTTTAAGCAAGATTTTGAAGAGAACGGTTCCATTCAACGCGTTTCTCTGTTCCTCAACTTGGCAAACGACCCGACGTATATTTTGGTAATGATGCTAAATTGTAGGATTGAACGTATCATCACGCCTCGTTTGGCTTTGACGGCTGCAGAATACTTTGCGTATCAGCTGGAGAAGCACGTACTTGTTATTATGACCGACATGAGCTCATATGCTGATGCCTTACGCGAGGTTGGGAAGGCTCTTAATTGTAGGTCTCTGCTGCTCGAGAAGAGGTCCCCGGTAGACTTGGATACCCTGGATACATGTATACCGACCTCTCAACCATTTACGAGAGAGCTGGCCGTGTCGAGGGACGCAACGGATCGATAACTCAAATTCCAATCCTGACCATGCCTAATGATGATATCACCCACCCGATTCCAGATTTGACTGGGTATATTACGGAGGGACAAGTTTATGTTGATCGTCAACTCCACAATAGACAGGTAATTTTTGTGCTGTTTATTTAGATTTATCCGCCAATTAACGTTCTACCGTCTCTTTCTCGTTTAATGAAAAGCGCCATTGGCGAAGGGATGACCAGAAAAGACCACAGCGACGTTTCCAATCAGCTTGTATGCTGCATCTGCTAACATTAGTATGCCAAATATGCCATAGGCAGAGATGCCCAAGCCATGAAGGCTGTAGTTGGGGAGGAATCCTTAAATCAAGAGGACAAACTTTCGCTCGAATTTTTACAAAAATTCGAAAACTCTTTTATTTCGCAAGGTCATTATGAGAACAGATCCATTGAGACCTCGCTTGACATTGCATGGAATTTATTGCGCATATTTCCAAAGGAGATGCTCAACCGCATTCCAAAACAAATCCTTTCCGAGTTTTACCTGAGAGACAAAAGAGTTCGTCACAGTTCTATTTTGACGGCCACGGTTTAAATTTAAAAATAAAACTTACAGCCAAATTTTTCAATGGAGGACACCATTGGATCGCCATCGTCCAGGGAATCTCTGCAAGTAGAGATGGAAAAATTGTATCGCGAAATTGTCGGCCGAAAGGTGGAAAATCTCGAGGCTGAACGTAGGTTTTATGACGCTGGCATGAAATTTTTCAATCAGCATCAAGTTGACGGCCATTTTTGGTGCAGAAACCAACCATATATGCAGATCATGCTCAAGTTGTTTGCCATCCAGGCTTCGCATCCGGGGTTGGACAGGTTTCGTTCTTCTGCATTAAATCAACTTTCCCTCTGTGCCTCATGCATTGACGCATACCACACGTCGACAAAACAGATCCTCAAGATTTATAATGACCAGTACGAGTCCAACACGGTTGAGTTGTTCTTTACCCAGCTTTTGGCAAACGATAGAAACAGGCTCGAGTGCGCACTGAAGAATTCTACTTCTGCTGCCGTGGGAAATGCCGCGCCAAATGCCACGGCGCCCATTTCCCTCCTATATGCGATGTATGAGATCTGTGCCTATCCAGAACTACTATGCGATTTGGATATTCATACTCGTTTTGCAATGACCATCAACTTAATGGTAACTGGTCGCGCAAAAACGTTCACCATGAAGCGCGTTGTTCCTGGACTGTTGCTGTCTTTACTGTCTCCCCAAAAGAATGTGCGCTTGTGGGCCACAAGAACAGTGCAGTCTTGGGTTGCAAGGCCTTCGGCTACCGTTGAAAGTGGCTGCAATTCAACGCCCAGCAATTCTTCTTCTCAACTGGCATTACCCTATCCCGAGTATACCGATGAGGAGTCTTTGGGTGATTCATTTTCCCAAATATGGATGTTTATATTGAGCGTGCTAAAATCGAACTCGCTGGAAATATCGGCCCCGGAGGGTGTTCCCCTGTATCTTGTTGGTTGCAAGAAATTCCCAATAACACGCTCAAGTCTCCATTTTTTTGACGGGCTTTCACTGGCGCTGAGGGCGCTTGATACAAATAACCTGACCACTCTGCCCAACTCCAGTATCAAGTGGTTTTCGTTGCTTGCAAATCTACTTATCCCGTTTTTATCACAAAGCCAATTGTATCCAAATGTGCTGTTCTGCTATTCATTTGCACTTTCAACTGTTTCTTTTGGCAATTTGAAGGAACATTCAACTTTGTCCCTCTACAATGCCCAATCTGGGGACAATCCACTTAAAGACGTGGCTCGTTTAGGCCAAACGCTTGTCGAAAATTCACGCTCTTACACGCGCCTCTTATTTAGTTCATTTGATCACGATCCCGAATCGCAGATTCAAAAGGATATCGAAGATTATCAATTGGAGTTGGGGTCCGCTTCATTTTCCGATTTACATACCGTTTTACGCTTCAAAAACATGAGGCCCTTTGAAATCCCCCTGTCATGGCAGAAGCCATTTATAGCCAATATTTTCTTGTCTGGCCATATTTCTCACCATGCTATTGAAATCTATTGTAGCCTTGTATATTCGATGTTGTTGGTTGATGGAGAGGATGGCTTTCCCATAAAATTCAAGATCCAATCGATCATCACGGCTTATCGGATTCTTTCCGCGTTGATATGCGAACTGGTTGCAGAGGATGCGCTTATTTTGGAGCTGTTTTCGTTTCGTAATTTGGCATCGTTGGTGATTTTGGATGCTCGTTGTCAAAGAGATGCGGGTACTTTGGCGCACCCTTTGATTGCATCCCTTGCATCATCGATACTTTCATCGATTTTGATGCTTGAATCGAAGTTTGAACGCAGAAAAGAACCGTTTTTAACGAATGAAAAGTTTTGGAAATGCTTTAACGAGTCCGTGGCGGTTCGGTGGAACTCTCCTTTGATGAAAAACTCGTCTCTCGCGGGTTGGGTTCCAGAGATCCATCATTCCATTCTCGCTTACATCGCAAACATTAATGCCGAGAAAAATCCCAATATCGAGACTCTGGTTTCGTTTTACCAGTTCCTTTTGAAAGAAATAAGCGCCAAGCCCGCAGCGATTGATTGCACCAATTTGCGGCTAATTTATCTTCCCGAGTTTGAGAGCAAGGCTTCGCTGTTAGTTGATGCCCTAATTACGTCCTTCATTTATGCGTCCAAATTATCAAATCAATTGGCCCGGTTTTGTGGGTTCTTCATCTTTCCAAATGAAGATGTTACTCCGCTCATTGTGATTCGGCATTTTCTTGAACACGACTTTAGCGAATCCATAAATTCCAGTCTTTTGCGCCATTCGATCGGGGTAACAAGATCGCATGCCGAGCCGCTGTATGATTTACTCCACTCATTTTGGATTAAAAACCCTGCAGATTGCGATAAGCTGGCTCCTATTGTGTCTGCGAAAAACATGAGCGAAGTCCAGACGTGCCAATTATTCCTTGCCACGTGGAAATTGCTATGGAACATTCTTCAGTTGACCATATCGTGTGGAAACGTTAACGCGCACAATAACTGTGTTCTGGCTTTTCTTTGCAATCTTTTTAGACACGTTTTAACGGTCAAAAAAAACTCGCTGTTGTTGCCGTTGCCTGGCTTTGAGAACCAAGAGGAAGGTGTAAATGCCTTTGCCAAGTATTTTTCTTCTTGTGAATGGTTTTCGACCCTTTTGTCCTTTATTGGAACATCCTCTGCCGAAGCTGAAAGGTCAATGGAAAAGCGACTTGCTTTGGAGCTGATTGAAGATTTGCTATATTGGTGGACAGAAAGGCGTGCCTTTCTTTGTCCATCTTCGTGCGTATCGAGCCCAAATGTTACCATTATCGCCCAGATTCGGATTTTGCTTACTTCGAGCGGAAGGCTTGACGAGCCCGAGCGAAAGCGTCTTACGGGTCTTTTGAACACCTACCTCCAATTCTGCCCGGTAAAGGTGAAGCCAATCATGGCCGCCTCCGAAAATGTATTGACACAAACCAAAATGATGGCAAGTAAAGAAAAAATGCCGTTAAATATGAACGTCTTGAAAAAGAAGGCCCTCCCAAATGACGAAATGCCTGTCTTTTCATTTACCGAGCATGTAAGAGCGTCCAAAAAGATCTGCTTGCCAATGGAGAAGAAACTTGCCTCAATATGTAGCCAGGAAAATCTTCGCAAGCTGGTTCCCTCCTATTTGAGCAAGAGCTCGCCATCGTCTAAACAAAGTTCACAAATTTGCTCGAAGAGCACTTTTATCTCTTCTCGATTGAAACAGGTAAGAGCAAAGTTGGTTAAAGATACCATGCTTGCATCTGTTGCCTCCCCAAGGCGTGTTGCACACCAGAAGGTCAATAGCTATGAAACCATTTCTACAGATGAAGAGGAGGATAAAGGCGACCTATGCGCAGCGACCAGCGATGCTATTTTGGCTCTCTCCACCTCTAAAGGTTTGATCGATTTAACCGGTATGGAAAAGCACCGGCCACTGGGAATTGACTCTGGAATTCAAAGCAAGCCAATCCAGGTGATCAATAACGTTGTTGGTACTGTTGCTCAACCGGTGGCTGCCGTATCCAAATCATCGGCTAGAAGTATCCGTGGAATTAGGCCTGTATTGGATCTTCCCTCTTTGCAAAGAAAAATCCTGTCCTGGAATCTTGAAGCAATCACAGAGGTATCGGGTAAAAAGGATAATGCGACAGCACCAGAAAATATTCCTTCCAAATTTACGGATGCTACTCATTATGCTCGGATCTTTGAGCCTTTGTTGCTGCTCGAGTGTAAAGCCCAAGTTGTTAAAAGCATTGAAGAAATCGGCGGGCTTGATTCTGCAAAGGTATTTAGCAGCGACAATTTTGACTGGTCAGAATATGTTCTGAATTCGGTCAATATGATCGACGATTTTTATGACGTCCAGTTCATTTTCAAGCCATCATCCTCAAGCTGTGGTAGCACAGGCCCGAGTACCAGGAAAGTGGGCATATTTGATGTCCCGTTACTTGAGCATGATTTGGCATATTTAGAATCGTGCGATAAATCTCTCAAGGCATCTGCCATTGTGGTCGGCAGTGTTTCCATCAAAGGCGGCGAGGCTTTCATAACACTTCGGTTTCGCCCTGGGGTTGACGCGAGATGGGGATCCATTTTCAGAGAAGGCTCGGTCTGGAAAATCATGAAGATTACTCCATTGGTGACGGTTGTACGAGAATATCTTGCACTCTCCAATATCTCTTGTTCTCCCTATCTTTCTTTTCTATTAGAACCTTATCTTTTGACCGAAAAAGGACGCGATATTAGCGCAGATGTCGTTGGAAATACCAGGCAGCTGCWWGCAGCTGCCCAGTTTTCGCTCAACGAAAGCCAACAGCTAGCTATCGCTTCGGCTTTGCATAAGGATGCCCAGATATCTCTTATTCAAGGTCCTCCGGGAACCGGAAAAACAACCACTTTACTCGCCCTTGTTTATTCTATTCTTAATCGATCTTCTTTTGGAGCCACGGGGCCGGCTCCCGTTTCTTTAAATAATTCTCGAGTTACCCAAGCGTCAAACCTCCTGGGTAGCATGTCAACATCGACACTGGTATCTTCAAATCGGCCAATTCTGATCTGCGCCCCATCTAATGCGGCCGTTGATGAAATTGTTAAAAGGTTTCTGGACTCTGCTGCATTTGCAAACCGCTCCATTGTCCGGGTCGGTTCTCAGGTAATTTTGGATTTATATTTTCAAGGAAGTTATCTCGGATGACATCCGTCATATTTCTCTCGATTGCCTATTAGAAGAGTCTGAAAAGGCTGCTAAAAAGTATTCTGCCGACTCGGCGTCCTCGTACAGTCAATATTTGGAGACGTTTTGCAGCACAAATTGGTCCCCTTGCGATGCCCCCAAAAAGGGCTTCACAAAAAGCGACGTTGATGCTCGAAAAAGAACCGTCCAGTGCCAGTTGGACGAGGCAAGATCGATTTTTTGTAACACCGCGGGATCTGTGATCAACAGAATCGAAGAAACCAGAGCGGCAGCCAGAAGCCGCATCCTTCAAAGCGCCTCTGTGATTGCTGCTACGCTTTCAGGATCAGGGCACGATTTCATTGTAAAGTTGGACTCCATATTTTCGTCGAGCAACACTTCGCCGTTGACGAATTCTTATTTGTTTGGGTATGTACAGAATGTTTATCTATTTAGTGCCAATGGCTCCGTTACGTTTGATGCGATTGTTATTGACGAAGCTTGCCAGGCAGTGGAGTTGTCGACCCTTATTCCTCTTCGCTATTCCGCCAAAAGAGTGATTCTTGTTGGCGATCCAAACCAGCTACCGCCAACAGTTATATCCAAGGAGGCATCCTCCTTTGCTTATGAGCAATCCCTCTTCACCAGGATCCAGAGAAATTGCCCTTCTATTGTTAATTTGCTTACCGTTCAATATCGGATGCATCCCTCAATATCGGCCTTTCCTTCGATGTTCTTTTACAATGGCCGATTAATAGACGGGCCAGACAACGCTAGAGCCACCGCTAGGGAGTGGCATTCAAACCATCTTTTAACCCCATATCTGTTTTACGATGTGCGAGGTCAAGAGAGTAAAAGGGAGGAGCACTCCATTGGTCGAAGCGAGTCTAAAAGGGCGGGCCGTTCTGTGCATTCTCTCAACAACACGGCGGAGGCAAATGTTGTCTTGGGATTAGTGAAGCTTTTATGCTCGGAGTTCCCATCGATTTCGGTAACCTTTCGTTGCTTTAATGTTGCAGTTTTCGGGGCGGATTGGCATTATCTCGCCATATCGTGACCAAGTGCGAACAATTCGCAGTCTAATTTTGCGGAATGTCGGCCCGAGCGCGTTGAAACATATTGAAGTGAATACTGTTGATGGGTTCCAAGGTCAAGAGAAAGAGATCATCATCTTTTCTTGTGTCAGAGCCTCAAGTGAAAGATCAATTGGGTTTCTAAGGGACACTCGTAGGCTAAATGTAGCGCTAACTAGGGCAAAATGCTCCCTATTTATTGTTGGGCACTCCGATGTGCTTTCTGGATTTCCCATATGGGACTCCCTGATCAAAGACGCAAAAGAGAGGAAAGTCTTTGTGCCTTTTTCTGGTCTGCACAAATGGCGAGAGCTATTCAATTTATCTTGTAAAAATTTGACTTCACATCACACTGATACCGTGTTTGCGCCCGCCGTGAAGCCGCAAAAAGAAGATCCCGGCCAAGTTTCCTCCAAATCACAGCATGAGGCAGATGGCAGCATCTGCCCAAAAGTGCCCAAGCCCGTCTTTTGTTCTGATGATAAGCACGCTGCTCCAGTGTACGCAAACCCCCTGGCTCAGCATAGCCAACCATTAGCATTAGGTTCGAAATCATCGGTCATGGCGGCACACCCCGCATGTTCGATTACGCAGGACAGTGTAAAGCCTGCATGTGCACCGCAATCTGGAAAAACATCCTCTTCATTTAACGCCTCTTTTCAAACAGGCTCTTCTTTGAACCAAACAACCACTGGTTTTGGCACGTTTATTGATTCGCCTTCAGACCCTCGATTGAGATGATAGCAAATTAATAAACAATAACTTAGGGTTAGGGCTCGCCAATCGGGAAAGGCTCCATAGTCGGCTGCGAGGCGGGCTTGGGCTCGATGGAAGAAAATGCTTCGCATCTTTCCTTCCAGTTTTTCATGTTTTCATCGACAATGATCTCTTCGACGGATTTCTGAGCCCGTACCCACTTCAACTAGTAAAGTAAGCCAATACCACATATCTACTAGCGATTTTGTCTTTTGGATTGCCGTGGAGCAGTTTGCTTTTGTATGGGGTGATTGGGAGGATATGCCATCGAGCCTACGGTAAATTCAACATGCACACCTTGATTGCAAGCATTCTTCTGTTTGCGCTATTATGGCTGAGCGCGAAGCATAACCATACTGCAAAAACTTGAAAAATTTGGAGCATATTTTTGGATCCAATTGGGATTTTTTAATGGCCCTGAATCTTGACAGTTGGATTTCCTCTTGTTTTCGTAGAGGCAGCAATTTTTTCTGCAGCAGGGTTTTAATTGAGCTTATATCTTCATCCTCGAAAGTGGTGGATTGGATCCCATGTAACATGAAGGAGAAGAATTAAAATTATTTTTTATTCAGGAATTGGAAAATATCTCGGGCCAAGTACTCGACAACGCTAAGGAAATTAAATTGCATGTGCCATCAAATACCTGGGATTGTTTAGTGTCGACAAGTCCCCCAATCTCTGATACAAATGGGAATAGAACGAGGCCAAAAAATCAGCCTGCTTTTGAAGAAGCTTTTCGTGCGAGGCATGCCAAGATCTGCATTCGTGCAGGATAATCCTTAAAACCCTTCTCATAATTTTGCCAGATCGAGTTTTGGGAAGCCCGCCTGCAGATGTCAAGGAAGATTCTGAAAGTACAACGACGCATTTCGGCGTCGCAATGGGCCCAATTGCTTTCCGGACCACATCTTTCAGTTCCGCCTCGATGGTTGGTTTTTGTGGATATGCTTTTAAGCCGACGACAACTGTAATCGATTGGCCGGTGATTGGATCTTCTTCTCCAATGACTGCAGACTCGGACACACAATAGTGCTTCATTAGAGCACTTTCGATTTCACGGGATGAAAGCCTGTGCCCGGACACATTGATGACATCGTCAACTCGTCCTGTTAGAATGAATAGCCCATTCGAGCTCTCCTTATTCGCTCCATCGCCGGTAAAGAAATACCCAGGATACGGCTTCAAATAAGCCGAAAGATATCTTGAGTAGTCGTTCAGAACAGTGCGAGCCATCCCTGGCCAAGGGCGGGCAAACGTGAGTATGCCGGACTCGACTTTTTCAGAACAACCGCCATTGTGATTGGTTTCCTCACTCGAGCTACTCATTAAAGTTGGCTCAATTCCAAAGAATGGAAGAGAGGCAGATCCTGGCATCACGGGCATTCCCCCAGGTAGCGCGGTAATTACAATGCCCCCTGTTTCCGTTTGCCAATATGTATCGACAAGGGTGCATTTTCCCTTTCCAACGACATCGTAAAACCATTGCCAAGTCTAGTCATTAAGATGCATCTTTACATCTGCGTGGATCGGCTCTCCAACACTGCCAAGGATCTTAAGAGATGACAGATCATATCCTTCAATATGTTTATCACCGTGTGCTTTCAATAGACGAATGACGGTAGGGGCCGTATAAAGTTGCGTGAGGCGATGCTTTTCGGCCATTTGCCTACAAAATAAATCAGCAACAATCCAAACCAGTAGCGAGATGGCGTCGGATATGTCGGGATGCTTTCAAAGAGAGTTACTGTGACCCCGTTTGATAAAGGCCCATAAACCACATACGAGTGTCCAGTGATCCACCTGATGATAGTAAGACGAAAAATACCCAATGTCCGCCATACACCCAAAAACATCATCCTTTTGCAGGTCGAAAACATACTTTGCAGTGAGTTTAGCATACAAAAGGTACCCAGCAGAAGTATGTAAAACACCCTTTGGTTTTCCAGTACTGAGCTTATGACGATCAATTAGCTTACCTTCCGGAAGTATATAGAACAAAGAGCGGGTGTTCACTGCACACCGATCTTGGGGTAAATGTTTTTTCTTCCAAAGGAACCACATCATTCCATAGCAAATCCCTCCCATCAATTAAATTACAACTGGCAGCGTTGGAAATGTTTCTTTGAGCAACCAAAACATGCTTTGGTTAAAATACAATCACAAAATGTACCTTCACCAAACCTGGTGGCAAAAAAGAAAGGGCCAAATCGACGGTATCTTTGGTTGCAATCCGGCGATTTCCGCGCAGACCAAAATCGGTTGTAATGACAAGTTGCGAATTGGCATCTGAGATTCGTTCTGCAAGTGCTTCGGCACTGAATCCGGCGAAAACGACACTACAATGAGACCGGAGGGAAGTACTTATGTATAAGACCAAGTCGAGCGCAGGCCAACATGGCAACAACAGCCTGGGGAACCATGGACATGTATATGGTGACAACATCAATGCCTGGCTTTAGATAAGGAAATTTTCGAGATATCAAATTGGACAGTTGGCAAACTTGGGCCAATAGCTCGCCGAAAGTTATCGATACCCCGGTATTTGGCTCGTCCGCCTCCCAAATCAGGGCAATTTTATCGGCATTAGAATGGGCGTGAACATCAAGGACATTATAGCATATGTTAAGCTCTCCATCTTCAAACCAAGTAATTTGTTCAAATTTTGTTGCGTCAGCACAAAGATTTTTGGAGGGATCTTGCTGATTTTCCTGTTTGTCTTGAAAGGAAACAGAGGCGTTTTTATTTGAAAACTCGGTAGATCCATTGAAAGAATATGCCCCGCCTTGCCCCAATACTTTAGTAAATGGCTTATTCCAATATAAAAGGTCTCGCCCCATTTTCCCCCAAAATTCGGAATTATGAGAAAGAGAAAAAGAGTACCACTTTTTATAATCTTCAAAAGAAATCGGCGGAGACGGAAAATCCGCATTCTAAATGCAACAGATGAAACGGGATACCTTCAAGTTAGCATCCATACACTGATGCATGACCGCCGAACGAACCTTTCGTGAATGGCTCATTTCTACGCTATTATTTCAACAATCAAAATTAAAAATTAAATAAATTCAAAATTTGATTTACCTTTTTCAGTCCATGGCTTATGGATCACCAGTATACTACTGATTCCTACGATTAATACAGAAATCAGCACCGGCATCATTCTTCCCGTGATTAATGGCCAACCTCCCTTTGTAGGCATTGCAAATTCAAATTTAATTTATTTTGGATTAATTTATTTCAGGATAGGGTGGCAAGTCAAAATTTTCTAATACACCGACAGGGTTTACATCCTCAACCAATCTTCTCAACAGATAATTACAATCGACCACAGCACCAAGCTTTGCACACAGTAGAAACACACCGGATAACTTCCGATGCAAAGCATAGGTATCCTCGGGTGGCGGTGTAAGCCGCTCCTCCAGCATTACAGGTATAGAAGACTTGATGCTCTGGACGATGTTGGAATATGTGGAAAAGTCAAATTTGTTATCAGAAGAAGCCCTGAATGGAAGACCAATCACTATCAAGGAGTTCAAATGAGCATTTATCATGGCCTACAATAAGCTTGTCAATAGAGGTACCTTGGACTCGAGGCCCGTCAAATACTTCAGATCAAGCGAGGCCTGGTATCCCTGTTCCCAATCCTCTTTTGCGGCTGCTAGCACCAAACGACGGTATCCCTCTACAAATTTGGAGTCAAATCTCCGCGCCGCGCCAAAGTCTAGTAAAACAATACGTTCACCATCAAAGAGAAAGTTTGCCCAGTTCGGATCTGTTTGCATTGCCCTCAAGGTAAATATTTCCCAAAAACAGAGAGCCAGAATGGTGGCTCCAATCTAAATCAAATAATCGCCAAATTAACCAACCTTATTACGAACCGCTTGAGGAAGTGCTAAAAGACGGTCTAAGGGCAGGCCATCGACCCATTCGGTAGTCAGTACAGACTCCCCAGAGTGTAGTGGGAAAAAAACCGGGATTTTCAAAGAAAACACCTCGGGAACAATTGCCGAAAGCGGCGAAATGGTCCGTCTGAACCAGTCCATCCACAAGGCTTCGCGCAGATAATTCGTTTCCCAGATTAATTCTTTCTCCAAGACATGCAGAGTCTTTTCCAAAAAGAGACCTTTTGGAAGAAGATTTCCCAATAAAAGGAGCGTTTTCAAAGAGGAAATGTCAGAGGAGAGACTCTTCCGAACACCGGGATATTGAATTTTCACAGCAACCTTCTGATCTTTAATTAGGGCCTGATGGACCTGGCCAATATATGCAGCTGCTATGGGAGCTTCGTGGTCAAAAGAAGAAAAAAGGTCTCGCCAGCTGGCTCCTAAATTTTTCTTGAGCACCACCTAAAACATTAAGAAAAATAGCGACCTCAGCTTGAGGCCACGGCATTGCATAGGCCATGTTACGCACTCGCTCAAATATGTGGGCCAGTTCTGGGGGAAGAACATCTGCGCCCTGCATGCTAAATAGCTGCCCTAATTTGAGAGCAGCCCCTCGCATTTTCGAAAGCCGGGTTACAAGCCTGTTGGCATTCTCCTCCGAGAGCCAAACATTAGAGACATTAGCTGGATCAGGCTTTCTTATGGCACGCTTTGCTGTTTCGGAAAGAGCACCAGCGGCCATTCCAATTGCAAGAGATGCATAGTTAAGCACCCGATTTGCTTTTCCAGCCGGAACAGGCATGGCTTTGAGTCTCGGGTGTGCCTTAGCATCTTCAACTTTGACAAGTGCCTCTAAAACTTGAGAAGAAAAGATATCCTCTGCAGCCTCATTTGTGGCAGACAGGTTGACTTCGTGGTCCATATTAATGGTAGCAGAATGTCCAGTCGAGGCATCATTATCCTTTATGGGGGCCGATGAGCTTCCTTGTGATTTGAAAGATGGGGATAGACATTTTTCTTCTGGAATTTGAAATGCTGAAAATATGTTCTTCATTCCCAGAGCAAGACGGGTCCTTTCGTACCCTGAGAGTGGAGTTCGGAAAAGGAGCTCCAGAAGCATTTAAAAAATTTCAAATTGACACCCAAGTAGCTATCACTGACAGCCAAGTAGCAAGCATGCACAACAGCTTTCCATACCATACCACACCCCAGCAGATAATACTATCGACTCGGTGTCTTTAGGTGCATGTGGGAATTAATTTATTTCTATTCTGGTGCGCACGTAAAGAGATACGAGACTGACTCCCCGTTGTGTGTGCGGCGAATGGCTTCCGCAATAATGGGGCTGATGTCTACACAGGCGAGTTTGGGGCAAGCCTTTATCTTCTCCTCTGTCGGGAGGGTATTGGTAATAACAATGGTGTCCAACTGGCTATCGGAGAGAACCTCCAAGGCACGCCCTGAAAGTATGCCATGGACGACTAGCGCATAGACTTTGGCGGCCCCATGCTCCATTAATGTTTTTGCTGCCAAGCCAAGCGTCCCACATGTGTCGGCCATATCGTCCACCAAAATTGCCGCCTTTCCCGCGACATCGCCGACAAGAACCATTCTGGAAACGTGATTAGCCTTTACGCGCTCCTTGTGAATGATGGCAAAATCAAGGTTCAGCTTGTCTGCCATAGATGTGCATCGTTTAGTGCCGCCAGCATCTGGAGAAACCAAGACTGCATTGGTATAATTGGGGACATTTTTCTTGATCCAGCTGATTAAAGAGAGCTCGGCTATCAAATTATCCACAGGGACATCAAAAAAGCCCTGGATCTGGGAGGCATGTAAATCCATCGTTATGACATGGGTAGCGCCAGCAACAGTCAACATATTTGCCACAAGTTTTGCCGTTATTGGAGCCCTGCTCTTATCTTTCTTGTCCTGGCGTGCATATGGAAAGCATGGAATGACTATTGTTTGGAAAATGAAGCGTACCCGCGGTGATCCTGCGTGCAGATGCAATCTTGCAGGCGTGAATTAAGTGGAGAAGTTCCATTAGGTTTTTGTTGACCTCCCCGTTTCCCGTTTGGATGATATAAACATCTTCATCACGGATCGACTCGCCCACAATAATGGAGATTTCCTTGTTAAACAGCTGCGTTGCGTTGATATTGCACACAGAGGTTCCCAGTCGCTTGGCAATCAGTGCAGCCAGCTTGGGATGGGAATTGCCAGATATGATTTTGATGGAGTTGCAGTCATCTTTGAACATGAAAGGGTTAAAAAATTATTGAATCGTCAACGAGTGAGAATTTTTTGTAATCAAAAGATTATCATTTTCGTCATCGATACCATCCCTTCTATTTGCCCTTATTGGATTATCATAGGTGCGTCTGAAAATGTTTACGCATTATTGTGATTTTTGATCTTGTCGAATCCATGTTGATATGCTCGCTATGTTCCTCGGAAGGTTATTTTTCAAACTATGAGGCCGTGTGTGTTAGATAGAAGGCTATTTGTGCATCCGGACATCTATTCGTGTGAGGAGAGATATAGAAGCCTACACTTGACTTCTTCTGCCTTTGAAGCATGGAAAAATCATCTTCAGGCCAACGGCTTCCTATACAGAGATGCTTACTCTTTTCGCCTTTCCATTTTCCATCTTGGCGTGCTGCCTTCTGTTGAAATCGTCAGCTGTGCTAGCATGCTATTTTTATTGCAAATTCCTTGTGGCTTTTATTTGCACAAAGAATCTTACAGCCATTTTGTCAATTTTGCCTCTGTTCTTATCCGACGCAGTTGCATTGGGCTTAGCGCCATCATTTACGCCCTCTATTTGGCAGCGAAATTCGGCCACTCATCAACATACAAACAGTGCTCCTTTGATTTATACTCATTGCTTTTGGTATCTTTAATGGTGTCTTGTAAATTTTTAAATGACGCCATATTTTCAAATGCCTTTTGGGCGAGCTACTCGTCCCTTTTCAGCGTTGTCCAAATTAACGAGTTTGAAAGGGAATTCCTTGGCCATATCCAATATGACTTTTGGAGCTTGAACCTCTCCGTGTGGCATGAGACGCTTTTGATGTTTTTTGATGCTGTAAAATACCTTTTTACCAACCAAAGCCATCAGCTTTACTACAAAACGTGCCTTGCTGGAATGGCGCCTCAAGTGGCAACCAAGCCAGCCACAATTTATTAAAATTTTCAATTAAACACTTAAATGAACACTAATGGCTTGGGGTCCTAAGTTTTATGAATCGTCGTTGTCGGTGTTGGGTGGTTGTGCAGTTTATCAAAAGCCGGTACATATGCGGAATCTAGTTTGAGGAGTGGAGTCTAATTTTGTACAAGCAGGTATATTCGATTTTGCCCCAGTTATCAAGGATCCTAAGCTGAAAGGCCGTATATAGCCCACGAGCTGTGGAAATGGCAAATGTCTGCGTAGAAAG